ATGGACAAAATTATCATAAAACGTAAACACACAAAAGAAGATGAATCACGAGAAATACGACCTTCTACAAGTGAATCCTGTGCCATTGATGGTGGCAAAACATGTGGTGAACTGGCCTCCAGCAGTAAAGGACAAAGTAAAAAAAGAAAGACAAGACCAATACAGGATGAACACAGGAAATTTAACGATGCATGGACTGAGGAATTCTTATTTGTAGCTCAGGGAACCAATTCACTTTGTTTAATTTGCCAAAAATTATGCTCGGGTTTTAAACGTGGCAATTTGGAACGTCATCTTCGTACCACTCATGCAAGTTTCAATCAGACATTCCCACTTAAAAGCAATCTGAGAAAAAAGAAAATTGAGGAGCTGTCCAGTCATATTGCAGGGCAACAAAGGCTAATTCACAGGACATCCACTGTTGCAGAGAATCTGACCGAGGCAACATATGAGATTGCATGGATCTTGGCCAAACACAAGAAACCTTTCACAGATGCAGAGGTTGTTAAAGAATGTTTTTTGGCCTCAGCAGAGAAAATGTACTGTAGTTTCAGTAATGAAGATGCCATTTTAAAACAAATCAGAGGCTTGCAACTATCAGACACAACCATAATGAGGAGGACTGAAGAAATCGGCAATGACATTCGTCGCCAATTAATTGCAGATCTATCAGCTGTTCCATGCTTTAGCATTGCACTGGACGAAAGCACAGACATTTGTGATGTTGCACAGTTGTGTGTATGGGTACGATTTCCAAAAGAAAACTCATTCCGGGAAGAATTACTGTGCCTATTACCACTATATGGAAAAACCAGAGAAGATGTGTTGACTGCACTATTAGGATTTTTTTCTGACAATAACCTGAACTGGTCTAATTTGGTGTGTGTGTGTACTGACGGTGCCCCCAACATGAGAGGCAAAGAGAAGGGTCTCATTGGATTAATGAGGAAGAGAGGGGAAATTCCAAATTTTGCCACATTCCATTGCATAATTCACCAGGAGGCTCTTGTGGCAAAGCTCAAAGACGGTGAGCTTCAAAAGGTAATGCAGCTGGTTGTTCGGGTGGTAAATTTTATTGTTTCAAGGGCACTGAATCATCGTCAGTTTCATGAGCTGCTGGCTGAATTTGAGACAGAATATGGAGATTTAGTAATGCACAATGAAGTGAGATGGTTATCTCGAGGCAGAGTACTTGATCGATTCTTGAGTCTCCTACCTCAAATTCGTGAGTTCACCTCAAGCAAAGGAAGAGTTGAACCTGAACTGGAAAATCCTGAGTGGATAATGAAACTGGCATTATTAACTGACCTCACCTGCCACCTGAATGCACTAAATCTCAAGCTACAGGGATGTGACAAGCATCCAGCTGGAATGCTAGGTGTGGTGACAGCATTCCAAAACAAGATCACATCACTTTTCATACCAGACAGACAATTTGTGCATTTTCCAAACCTTAGAAAAACCACGCTTGCCAATCCAGACATGTTGCAAAGTTTCAGCTATGACACATTCGAGAATACATTAAAAGATTTGGGGCAGGAGTTTGAGTCAAGATTTATGGATGTAATGAAGTATAAGGAATTCTTCACTTTCATTGAGACCCCATTTAATGTGCATGTTTCAACCTTGAGCCCTATTCTCGATGAATTGTGCCCTGATCGTGCATCTGTGGAATCTGAGATTGTTGAGCTGCAGGCAAATGAAACTCTGAAAGCAGTTTTAAAATCAGGTGAGGAAAATTTCTGGCACATTGTTCCTGATATGGACTACCCAACTTTGAAGCAGACTGTGCAAAAAGTGATGTGTTATTTTGTGAGCACATACACTTGTGAATCAACATTTTCAACTATGAATATTGTGAAGGGGAAACAGAGAAATAGAGTCACTAGTGGACATCTGGATATCCTAACAAGAATAGCCGTCACAAATTACAAGTTCAGCATGGAGAAAGTCAAAGAACAGCTGACTCATTTCCGGTCATCACAGCATTAAATGAAGGTGTGTATTTTTAAAATTTATATTCGTAAAAGTAAAGAATTTCTGTATAATTTAATTTTTCTAATCGGCTAAGTTTCTATACAATAATTGTTACTAGTCAAATCTGTGGCTATAGAAACCCACAAAAATATGTAATTTAGTTTCTGTATATATTTTGTTCTGCTAATACTAATCCTTGTAGCTTACGAGGCATGTGGCTCTCAATCTGAATATGCCCTGAACTTTTGGCTCTCTTGAAAAAATTAGTGAATAACACTGCAGTAAGTAATCAAGTAAAATTTCCATAACTTAGTTGTACAAGAGAATTAAATTTATTTTGTTTTATTTATGACACAGATTTATTAATTACTAAATCATGTTACAGTATCTGTTCTTAAGATAGGAATGTCAAGTAATATCATCACAGGTAGTTTTCATAATAGAGTGTGTTTCATCTATACTTAAAACAATCTATCAACTATTTGAACATGCAAAACCAAATTTTACCACAAAGTTATATAGTATAGTATATGTATATAATGAGAATTCTATAAAGTGAATTATAAAAATAATCATGAGTATATAGATGTAATAATATCACAATACAAAATCTATTGCTTCACATAAATCTTCTCAGCATAGAATATATTTCATTTTTCTTCTAGAGATTCAACACATTTGCTTGTTTTCAATATCTTTAACATTGCTTGTCGTCTTCGCAAGACACCCTCCAAACGTCTCAAACCTGTAACATAAAGAACGGATATAGTATTATGTTCCTTGTTGCTAAAATAGTAAAATTTCATATATCTTGTATACAGAAGTTTATTGCCCTTTAAAACTTATGGCATGACTTGGAATTTGGAAAACACTGCATAATCTATATAAGGCTGGATATGAGACTCTTAGGAAAAATTAAATCATTCTTTTATAAAATTGGGGCTTCATGTCAATTACCCTCATTTAACTCCTGCTTGGGAACTGTGAATACAAGACGCATCCAGCCTGGTGAAACACAATAAAATTTTGTTCCTGGTGCTATGTATAACCCTGCATCCATAATTTCTTCCTGCAGTGCTGAAATCCAAGAATAAAAATAAAGTTGCTAATAAAATCTGATGAAGTTATTTCAAGGCATATACAAATGATCTTCAACAAGCAAAAGGTCTACTTCTAATATTTCTTTTGATGAATATCTCACAACATAACACCAAACAAGAAAGACTGTGACTTGTATTCCAAAACTGAAGAGAGCATTATACATGGGAGTGGCTTCCCCTGAATATTTGTTACCCATTTCTTCCTCCTCTGTGTTCTCCTTCATGAATGGCTGAACAGAAAACCACACAAAAAAGCCTGCCCTAGCCTTCCTGACATGAGCTCCCATGATTTCTAGACGTTTGCATGTTTCCTTGTATGCTTTGGCAAGCCTTGCTCTGTTCATTGGAAGATAAAACTTGTCACACCATTCTGGAAGGATACAAGGGAATGATGCAAAAGAATGAGCAGGCATAATCATACAATAAATTTGTAGTATAGTTTCATTATTTGCAATTTCTATCTATGTATATGTTCTGTACATGGGAATGGAATATACCTTTAGTTTTCATTGAAAAAAAAAAACTATTTGTTCATATGAAATTGTTTTAAAACATATTCTTTATAATTTAACAATTTGAACATGGTAACAGACATACATTTCCATATTTCCAAGTTTTTCTCTTTTGGTTATGTATCTGAAATGAATAAAGAAAATACTGGAAAGCTACCTGTATCATTGAGGAGTGTGGCTGCAGCATGCTGGATGATGTGGGGAACACATTTATATTCAGCAACAGCCCTCAGGCAAGAGATCACCTGAGGACTGACATTCACAATGACTCCTACCCTCAAACCGGCCAGATTAAAGTCCTGACAATTATATTTTAGTGTTAGTCTTTTTACACTTCCAAGGTAAAGGTCAGTATGAAATCATAATGAGATTCTTAAACTAAGAACATGTACAAAAAGTTTAAAGGTAAATTTAGACTTTTCTTATATTCTGTTGTTACTCATGTGTGTATGATCTATCATCAAGCCTACAAAAACTAATATTGTGTCTTCTGTGGAATAGAAGATTAATCTTACAGGACAGGCGTGTTTAATTAAAAATGAAATATGGAAAAAAAAAAAAGATGTACAAGAAGGGTTTGGCATGAATTAACCCCATGCCATCAGTGATGGAATGTACACACGTGAGATGCCATTTGAGGTTAGTTTATCAATTGTCTTTATATCTAGCTGGCTCCACAATTTCTTAGTCACCAAGGAGTTGTTTACTGGTGCTACCTATCTCACCTATTCACCCTTTTCCTTGATTTGCAGAAATATCCTCTTGTATTGTACACTGATATTAGTAATGCTGATAACATTGTAATAGTCGTAATGTCTATATTACTAATATCAGCTCAATACTGATAGCATTTGTAAAGAAAACATTTTTCCTGAAAATTCAAGGGAAGATGAAATCAAGTGAGGTCATGAGGTCTACTATTTGGTCGAGCCATTTTCCCAGCAACAATAAATCAGACTCTTCAAATGAATTCACATCATATAAATAAATCACAACTGTAATCATATATATAAACATATACTTATCATTATAATAAAAATTCTTAATATGTAACATAGAATACATAATATCTTTTAATGACTGTGTAAAGTACCTGAAAAAAATACAGTGCCATATATATGCAGAAAAATATGTGGTTATGTTGTTACAGAAGTACTTCCCAATGAAAATAATATAGTATAATAGTCAGTTAGAATGACTATTATAACTTAGTGTCTTATTACAATTAGTGCTCTTTGATGTGTGCTACTTGGAGAAGGCTGTGTTCCTTATAAGTGGAGGGAGAGAGGGACAATGAGTTGAAAGTTGCAACTCAGTAATATTATTATTGAATATGGCATTAAATCCAGAGCAGAATCACCTCATATACACATGGCACTTCTGTAGTCACATATACTACCTCAGTAACAGTAAGTCATAAGATATTGTTAATAAAGTAAAAAATAATAAACAAATAAATAAAAATAAATACATCCAACTACTGAGAGTCATAGGCATAAAACTGTCAAATTCTCTCCAAAAATTCTTTTTTTTTTAATCTAGAGCTATAAAGAATTTAAAGTGTTTAAGAATGACTCACTGGCATATTAAAATCTGGAAGAAAAAATGAAACTCTAACAGGAATTAATTTGTATCTACAACTAGGTATATGGTTCTTACCTTACTAAAACTCCAAATAACATGTGTTCTCTCGGGATCTGGAGCTTCCAAGCTGAGTACACTATGAAACTTTGGGTCCTCGTCAAAGACTGACAGGGCATACACTTCGTCACTAATGAAGTGGATCTTTTCTCTGTGAAGGTTAGATACTGTCAAAAGGAGGTAAAAGAAATCAAGAAAGAGAGGGTAATGAAAGAGGTAGAAAAGGGAGAGGAGAATTACTAATATGAATAAAGAAATAACAGCATGCAGAAAAAAAAGGTTGTTAAGAAGAAAGAAAATGAGAGGTGATAGGTGGAGAAGAGAGAGGAGGAAAAGAGGAGCATAAAGATATGCAAATATTACAGGAAGAGGAGATGTACAATAAAAAGAAAAAGAAAGAAAAGAAAGAAAAGAAAAAAAAAAGGAAAAAAAAATGAAGTGCAGAAAATATGAGAATAATGATAATGAGAAGGAGAATGTGGAGGTTAAAGTAATCAGGGAGATTAAGAAGGGAGATACATAGCAAAATTTATGTATCTGAGGAAGCAAGAAGTGTTTACAAGTAATCAAATGGAACTGTTTTCATTGCTGTATAACCTTTCACCTAATTTTATATCCACACTTTTTTGCATGATAATTTAGGACTTTGTTAAAACCATAATACTTCCTATTGCAAGACTTGCCTAAAAACCTTCCAAATCATAGTAGAATTTACAGTATCAGCTCATGCAAATCTCCTGTTTTTCAATTAAACAGTAATGAATCAAAATATGAAATCTGGGCACCCCTGTTTATTTACCAATTTTTTTTGCTCATCTATATACAAGCTTACTGAGTATAGCATTTTCAATGAAGCTGACTTAACTGACAATATATCCTGTGGGGAAAGAAGATGCACAAACTAAACCATGTAAGTAAATATTAAAGAAAGAAAATGAAATGCCGCACCTGGCACACACAGCCATAAGGTCATGGAGCAACTCTGGTTCATATACATCACCCAAAGGATTGTTGGGATGGAGCAGGATGAAGGCTCTGACCCGACGACCTGATGCTTTTAGTGACTGAATGTGTGAGCTCAGTGCTTCTGCCTCCAGAATGAAACTTGTCTTACTGTCCTTGCCCTTTGGATGAATGCAATGAGGTAGATGTGTAATAGTCATAACTACAACAGAAACAATACTAATTATGCAAAACTCCATAAATCATGCAATCAAAAGAGCAATTTTTCTGTTATTTTTTCACATATTATTTTTTCTAACAAGCTGAAATTGAGGTGGGACATACCTAGCTCACAAGAGTATCTAAAAGGGTAAAAATGTTTCTGGCTCAAAAAAATCAAATTGACTCAAAAAGTAAACAGTTTCTTTAATATGCTAATGTATGTGCAGTCTAATTATAATTTTCCTAAGTTTTAGTATGTTTTAGGCCTGTAATCTAATGCATGGGCCTTGACTTATCAGTAGGTCATGTTGTCATAGGTGTTGGACCACCCTGATATGTGATATATAAGCATATTATTATCGATATCTCCATCTTGAAATTTTTGAGAAATAATGACTAAATTAGTATACATATAATAAATGTATTCATATGTTCCTTATCAGTTTTCATACATGCATCAGAATTATAGATTACCCAATTCCTATCCATAATCTCTATGTGATTCCTTACCTGCACAAGATTTAAAGGTTCTACTATGACGCCAGCATGATCATTCATGTCTCTGAAAATGCAACCATAACTTGGCGTGGCTGTTATA